AATTAGAGATTCGATAAAAATTTGCAATAAATCGCAGGTTACATACACAATAAGTGTATCTTTTATCATTAACCTATTTAATTTATTAATGATAGATATATCGTGATAACACGTAGTTCTTGATGTTATCATTTTAACGGCACTCGTAACGATTGACCTCCGATCTTTGTTCTTATTTGCAGGTTGTACGAAAGTCTACACGAAGAGCTCGCATCTGAAGGCTCATCAGCGGATACACACGGGTGAGTGGAAATGTTATCATATTTTGTTTGATGTAACACGTTGTTCCTAATATAAAGGAATAAATGCTAAAATTAGAGGGAGGGGCCATCGTGTACTATCCAGTAATTAGGTATGTAGCTCATCTATGCGAAACGAGACGAAGAGTTTGAAAGCGCGAGGTCGAGCAGTCGACGCTCACGCGTGGGCAGGGCGCGGTCCTGATCGTCTCTCTTTCTCCCCCCCCCTCCCTCTCCCCTCCCTCTCTTTCTCTCTTCCCCTTCTCTTCTCTTTCTTCTCTCTCCCTTCGCTTCCATCTCTTCGTTTCTCCACTGGTACTCGCGCGCGGTGTCGCGCAAAGGCGCTTCTATCATATGTAAACGTGAGGTAAGGGACGCACGAAGCTCTCGTGGTATGCGACTCTCCGCTTAGAGCGAAGCTAGCGACCGACCCACCATCCTATCCGCGTCCAAGCTTCGCCAATACACGGACGCGCGAGTCGCGGCACCAACACCGTCTGCTGCCGCGCGTGTGCTACCTGGACACGAACACGCATGCTAGTTCCCACACGCGTCGGAGCGCGCGCGAAAGAGCGAGAGAGCGTGAGAGCGCGAGAGCGAGAGAGAGAGACGAAGATGGGCGGAGAAAAGGACGAAGAGATGTGCTTCCCGCACACGTGCCTACACGGCAGTCTCTCGCGGAATGCAAGCCGGAGGCATTTTAAGTGCGATGTACCACTTTCGAATTGATACCTCCGGTGGGTTTTTGCGGTAAACCCGTGTCATCGCCTCGAACGAATCGGTTGAACGAAATGAAATTTAAAGATCTTTAAGAATCCGAGAAATCAAAGAATAACCCGAGGAAATCGGGCGAGCGCGAGCTCGCTCTTTAAAATTTCTTTCGCTTTTCTCGTCTGCTTGTTCTCTCAAAATTATTTTCGTAGCGTGTAATTTATAAAAACGCAGGCGGAACATTTCAAATAACATGGAATATTTCGCTATCTTAACGTAACTTGTTGGACTCACATTTAGATAGATTATGCATGCGATCGTTATCCGCGAGTGACTCGTATTTACCCTCCATTGACATTTGAATCGAACAAGCGTTTTTTTTCTCTACGCTCGCGCAACGAGTGTACTGGCAATAGCTAAATTAATTTGCCGCCAGTCGCGATTGTGTGTGGGGTACATCTTGTTCGTTGATCAGTTCTTGCGACATTCCGTCAATCGATTAGAATCGCGGAGAACCGATCGATTTGCGAGATTATGCGAGGATATTTCAATTTGTCGCGCGATCTCGAACACGGACGAGCGAGACACAAGCGCGCCGAGACCGGGAACGCTTCGATGTGATGGAGAAACCGAGGGGGGCACGTGGCCCCCGCGCGCGCGAGAGTCTGTCGGACGACTCGTGAATGAACCCTCGCCGCATTGCTGTGAATGCGCCGTGCCACGAGCGGTGCCTGTTCGACGTGGTCTTCGTTGTTATTAATTCATTAGCGTCTAGAATTATATTATATTATATGAAAATAGTTTTTTGTAATTAAGACGATGGCCAATGATTTATCGATGCAATAAATATAAAATTAATATCGTAAATATATATTAACATCGCGGTTCACGCATGAGCGATGACGACGCGAAATTTCGTAATTAATTGTGTCCATACAACGTTGATGTCATGATTAATATATATACTATTAATTATAATTAATATATAATACTAGAGGGACGTCGTTAATCAAGCTATTATATGAATTGTAGTAATTTCTTCGTGATCGATGATATGATTTGATTGTTCCGACTTTTAGAATTTCTCTGACCTTAAAATAATTGAAGTTTAAGCGCTATCATTAATCTTTGAGAAATTAATCGGTACTCAGACATCACACGAGAAAGCCCGGTGGCCGAAGAAATCTGGAGCAAAGTAGGGCTAGGAAGCGTATTTGGAAAGCAACTTGTTCGCGGAATGGAGCGCCGTCGACTCTCGAGTGAAAGTGATCCAAAATTATCGGGGCCTGGAGGCCTGGAGGCCTCCGTAGGTGTCGCTGAATCGGTCGGATCGACTCTAGAGACATCCATAATGTAATATATCACATCTTACGGTATCGCGAATTAAAACGTGATCGACAATCACGCGTAATCTTGCAACTTAAGTAATTAACGAACATCAGACGTTAAAAGGAAATTTTTTATAAATACAGAAAGAATACCAAAATCCTTAGAAATTGATTTTTTATTTTGATTTATCTCCTTCTTTAATTTGTCACAAATCTTTTAAAATTTTCAATAAATTATTCGTTAATTATTATTCGAGGGAATTCTTTCTCTCTGTAAAATAATTTGATTTTATCGTCAATTCTAAGATAATTCTAGAAATGAACCTGCCGATGTCGAGCGACGAGGGGAAATTTCGCCCGAATGCTCTCGCCGCATGTTCACGCCGGTGGAGATTTGCAGGAGAAGAATTCTCACGTGAACGCGCGCGATACCGTAAATGGATAGCGCTCGTGGTAGTAGTACCGTTTCTTGGGCTGTGCGTCGCGTGGCACGGCGCGGCGCGATGCTGCATCGTTGAATGCAACTCTCGGCGCAGGGCGGCTGCGGCGGCGGCGACGACGGCGGCGAGGACCGGTTAGGGTCGTCTCCGTGTAGCGCGCGAGAGGAACAGGAACGAGCTAGAAGGATGCGTGGGTGTATCTCTCAGCTATCGAGTTCTTTCTTCTCCTTTCCTGTGCGTACTCGCCCTCCCGACACCCTCCCGGCACCCTCTCTCGGATCCCCCGTCGGTCCTCCGTGTCGGACGTTTTTACTCGCTTATAGCACTCGCGCTTCTTATTCATCGCGTTCCGCGCATCGCGAAAGAATCTTTCGTCGTGATCGAATTAGCAAACAATTCGGAAAGATGATAGGCGTCAGAGGTGTGTAGAAGATATTTAAAGTCGAAACGAATCAAAAGTACGTCATTTGCGATGAGATGAATTTCAAAGATGAGGGTCTCTTGTCGAAACGTTGGACTACTCCCTGACTTTTGTTTTTTTGTATTTTTAATGTGAAATCATGTTTGTTAATGAACTCTGCAATCGATCAATTAGATTTTACTCTGATTTTATAAACGTCAACTTTTTCGACTTACGTTTTTATATTCTGAGCGTCCATCCGCGAACCTCTCGATCCCGTCGTCCCCCCTCCCCCCCTCCCGTTTATAAAGGTAATACGCCACGGGCCTTATTGTAACAACAATAAGGAAGGCATATTCTTCGATAATCGGCGAAGCTAAGCGGAATGCGGGCATGTTGGTTCGCATTAGTCGGTTGCATTCGGCCGGTCGCTCGTTCGCGCGCGCGGTCCGGCCGGCGCGATTGCGCTAGAATACAGGTGAGCGTGTTGCGGCATGCAGGTACAGTTAAAGGTCACACCGTGCTGCATCTCTCGTAGTTGAGAGGCGCGACGGGGTATATACCTAGGTATATACCGCATCCCGCAGCTCTATCTCACAAAGAGCAACGCTTTGTTCTCTAATAGGTCGCCGTCGTCTCGAAACTCGAACGGAATTCTCGCTCGTGAGACGAGCGTTCAAGAGCCGCGCCGATCGGACCTCCCCGTATATCGGTCGATACGCTTTTGTACTTTCCAGCAGAATAATCCGCGAAAAGAATCCGAATACACAAAGAGACACACCACTGTCGTGTATATTAATCTTTGAAATATATATCTCTTTTTTCTCGTTAGAAAAGACAAATAAAGTTGAAGTAAAAGAATTGACAAACAGATTTAGAAAGCCACAAAAATTGACACAAAAATTGACACAAAAAAATATCTTAAAGTCTCTCGAAAGGAAATAGTAAATAGATCACATTGCCTCTATTGTTTTTATTTCTTTACTACGTATAATTGCCAATCTAAATCGAGCGATTCTACTATCGATGCATCGTAATAATTACGACCGCTCTACGGATATACATCCCTTCCCCCCCTCCCATGCACGTTTTCACTTGTGTCTCTCTCTGCTTGGTTGTTTCAGGCGAGAAACCGTATCAGTGTCAATGGCCGGAATGCGAGTGGCGATTCGCCAGGAGTGACGAATTGACGCGGCATTACCGCAAGCACACCGGAGCTAAGCCCTTTAAATGCGCGGTCTGCGAGCGCTCCTTCGCCAGGAGCGATCATCTCGCGCTGCACATGAAGCGGCACCTCCCGAAGCAGCACACCAAGTGAAGAGAGCGGGAGACCAGAGGCAAAGAAATAGAGAAAGAGAGATTTTCTCTTTGCTCTTCCCGTTCGTTCTCGACACTACCTGTGTTGGACGCGCGCTACGTGGATTTCGCCATTCAGGCTTCGAGGCGCGGAGCTTTTCAAGGGACTGTCAAGTGCGGAGAACATCGAGAGTTTAGAAACGTGTAGAAATTATCGGGAAAAAGGAAGAAAAAAAAAAAAGTCGCGAAAGCTATTTCTCAGATATTATTGTAATTTCTAAACGGATCTATGACATTCGCACTATAGATATTGTATATATTTTCTTCGTTTCTTGCTTCTACATGTCATTCCATCGATTCCCGGAAAATTGCGAATTTAATGATTATCTTCAAAGCGATTTGCAATTCGCAAATGAAAAGCACATTCGACTTACGTTCATTTGTACGCGATCGAATTCGTTGCACTCTATCCTCGATATACGATTTCGATGTAGTTTTTCGGAGCTTGGGATTCGATCGTCGAGTCTCGAATTTGCAATATACGTATCGGATCGGCGGAGCCATCGATCGAACTCTCGAAGCGAGCCGTCTTGATTCGATCGCTTCGGTTACGCTCACTACCGTTCGGTTAAGCGGCCATGACGAAATACATCCTCGGTGTGGGTGGTGATCGCGAGGAAATATTTCGTCATAGCGCTATATACTCACGGACACGTCCGAGTGAGAGATATTACAATCTCCGTTCCTCGGTAACTATAGCGTAACTTCACACCGACGGATGGATTCGAGGCGTCGACTCGCACGAAGAGAAGAATGAAGCCAACGCTCTTGGGGAAAGCAAAAGCGAAAACATCCGTCTTAAAAGACAGGTTTTAGATTAATAATCTTTCACGTTCACTCACGGAATATTTACTTGGCGATCTGATCACGTCGATATCACGATTTTATCGAAATATTTGCATTTGCGGCTGATAAGAATTTTTTTCATTCCCTCGCACATGCGTTTCTCTGCAATCCTCTCTACGTGTTCTTATTTGCCGAAAGCGAAACGCCTCGACTTGGAGCATAATCGAGAGCTCCGCCGTCTTCATTCATATATTTTTCATCAAAGCTGTACATGTACGAGCCGTCATCTCGCGACGCTCTCGAGTCTCCCTCAGCGAAAATGATTTGCCAGATTAGGGCAACGCGCTATCTTGAAATTATCGCTATCTCAAAGTTGACCGCGTCTCGAGATGTTCTGTTTGATGTGTAAACGCGATCGTTTGCACGCTCGAGCTTAAGTCGAAAAAGCCTAATCCGCGTCTCGCGCCGCGCGCGCATCATCCCGCATCGTCTCGATAATCGTCGCGAAATTCGCCCCAATATTTACCAAGCCTCCTCGATAGCGCGCGGAAACAGATAGATAGAAGAGCTAAGTATCATGCTTTGCCGTTATCACGTTCATATGTGAGAAACGACACGATATCGTGATGCCTTATGTACAAATTCGCGTAGTCTTGAAGAGATAAGGTGTCTTATGGCGGTCGGTGTGCGCGTACACGTGTGTGTGTGTGTGTGTGTGTGTGTGTGTGTGTGTGTGTGTGTGTGTGTGT